CACGAAGGCTGCGAAGGTGGGGTGGCTAAAATGTTACTGAGGGATGCCAAAAAATGGCCTCAGGGGCTGTGCGTTAGACCACTTTTCAGTATACTAAGAGTCTTGATATCTTAAAAAGCAGACACATCACCTTGCCGACAAAGGTTCGTATAGTTAAAGCTATGGTTTCCCCAGTAGTGATGTATGGAAGTGAGAGCTGGACCATAAAGAAGGCTGATCGCCGAAGAATGGATGCTTTTGAATTATGGTGCTGGAGGAGACTCTTGAGAGTCCCATGGACTGCAAGAAGATCAAACCGATCCATTCTGAAGGAAATCAGCCCTGAGTGCTCACTGGAAGGACAGATCCTGAAGATGAGACTCCAATACTCTGGCCACCTCATGAGAAGAGAAGACTCCCTGGAAAAGACCCTGATGTTGGGAAAGATGGAGGGCACAAGGAGAAGGGGAGGACGAGATGGTTAGACAGTGTTCTTGAAGCTACCAGTAGAGTGCCTGGCATGCTCTGGTCCATGGGGTCACGAAGAGTCGGACACGACTAAACGACTAAACAACAATAAAGAGTCTTGATAATTCCATTATGAACACACACAACTAGTCGGATAACTCAGTAAAGCACTGTGATTTTGGCTGAAGGAACTCCTATGCCTCCCCATTCCTGCTGTTCATAGGAACACTTCAGAATGTCAGAGTAATGCCTAGCATCCATTATAGTTCCAGGGCTTGGCTAGCGCATTTTAATTGTTGCCTCTCAAAATCCTGATTTTTTTTTTTTATTTTTTTAGTTTTCCTCCCATAGATAATCAGCCCTCTCTTGAGCCAGAGGCTCCTGTGCTTTAAGCCAGTGGTTCTCAAAGGGTGTGGCACATCACAGTGGTGTGGCAGGAGAGGATGGCAAGTGTGGTGGGAAGATTCAAGGACAATCAGAGAAACATTTAAACATTTCAGTACAGTACGGTATAATGTCAAATTAAAATTTTGTGTGTGTGTGTGTGTGTGTGTGTGTAAACACAACCAGACACAGTATCCATGCCTCTTCAAGAGCATTGCTATAGTTCTCTATGACATATTTTGACACGGATTTTCAATTCTGACGAATATGAGATTACCTGGCAAAAGCAAACTCACACCTTAAGTAGGTTTATACCTACTTAAGGTACATATGTAAGAGGCTCGTTTATACAGTGGTACCTCAGGTTAAGTACTTAATTCGTTCCGGAGGTCCGTACTTAACCTGAAGCACCACTTTAGCTAATGGGGCCTCCTGCTGCTGCGCCGCCGGAGCCCGATTTCTGTTCTCATCCTGAAGCAAAGTTCTTAACCTGAAGCACTATTTCTAGGTTAGCAGAGTCTGTAACCTGAAGCGTATGTAACCTGAAGCGTATGTAACCTGAGGTACCACTGTAATTATATTTTCGGAACGATTTATGTCCTTATATAGCTGCATTGTTTTATACTTTCTGGATGTTCCATGATCATATTATAAAGTAGTTGTGTTCTTTGTTATAAATCAAGCACTGCTAGGAGTTTTCTTTTTGTTTTCCAATGTATTTCTTATCAACAACAAAAATGTGGTGCAAGCAAATTTTTATTCTGAAAATGTGACCCATAGAATATTTTTTTTTGAGAACCACTTAAACACACCTTGATCTCAACATATGAAAACAGAAGGGATCAAAGTAAAAGCCCTGATATGATGAAAAGTTCTTCCAAAGAACTGTGGAGTACTTTCATTTTGCTCTTAATTGATTTAGCTCAGGTATACCCTTCTGGAAAGTCCAGCAAATAAATAATGCCCTATTTTAATTTATTTATTTTATTAAATTTCTATTCCACCCTTCTTCCCAAAGGAAGGAGCAGTGTCCTTTTAGATTGCAGTAATAGATGGATGGGTAAATAAAGAATAAAAGTTGCAGAATTTGGATTATCTTTGGGGCAGAATAATTTATTTCTTTTTTGACATAGCTATACACGCAAGCTATATTTGGGCAGACGGGTAAATTTTGAGTGGGTGCCTATAAAGCTGGTTTACCTAAATAGGCCAATATTTCCCACAGATTTCTGGTGTTTCAAGAACAGAGCCCACAACTGTTGACGAGAGGAAGAAATGTGTTGGGGATCAACCATAACACTTTCGCAGAAACGTATCTCCATTTGGGACTGTGATTCTGGTTTGGCTTTAAGGAACCCTTTTATGGCCAAATTACATAAGATGCCAGTCTTGTTTCATCAAGTATGCTCAACCTAGCTGTTGTTATTTTGAAGAAAAAGCAGCTATAGTGGTACCTCGGGTTAAGAACTTAATTCGTTCTGGAGGTCCATTCTTAACCTGAAACTGTTCTTAACCTGAAGCACCACTTTAGCTAATGGGGCCTCCTGCTGCTGCCGCGACGCCAGAGCACAATTTTTGTTCTCATCCTGAAGCAAAGTTCTTAACCCAAGGTACTATTTCTGGGTTAGTGGAGTCTGTAACCTGAAGCTTCTGTAACCTGAAGTGTCTGTAACCCAAGGTACCACTGTATAGGGTTCAAATTAGGCCCCTTACCAGTTTGCTGAATCCTCCGTCCTTCCTAACCTGATTCCTTTTTGGCCCGAAAGGTGTTGTTTGCATTAAACAGTACTCTTGGGGAGCAAAAAACAGCCAGGAAGGAGTGGTTTTCATTAGAAACCCAACAGGGGACCCCAGTCAGGAGCATGTTCTGGGTTGCAGCCCTGCGGCTGCTTTTTCTCCAGAAAGGTTAAAGCATCTTTTCTGTCTAAGCTGAGAACCTTTATATTCAACTTGAGTGTTGTTTTCAAATCTGAGTGTCCCAGTTTATGACTCATGTTTCATTGTACTGTATATCTGCCAGAAAGTACCAATTTTGATGCAGCTTTTGTTGTTTTGTATTTTCAATGTTGTGGTTTGTTTGTTTATTTTGTGAGTCACTTCGGAGAACATGTGCTGTTGGGCCACTGTACAAATGTAGACAATAAATAATACCGACAATAAAAAAATACCTACGGGACCACCTCTCCTGGTATGCCCCGCGGAGGACCTTAAGGTCCACAAATGACAACATTTTGGAGGTCCCAGGTCGCAAGGTGGTTAGAATGGTCTCAACTAGGGCCAGGGACTTTTCAGCACTGGCCCCGACTTGGTGGAACACTCTGTCACAAGAGACTAGGGTCCTGTGGGACTTGACATCTTTCTGCAGGGCCTGCAAGACAGAGCTGTTCCACCTGGCCTTTGGCTTGGACTCAGTCTGAGCCTTATGTTTCCCTCCCCTTATGGTCTTGATTTATTGGCTATTTTAAATGAGGCTGCATTTTAAATTGCATTTTAAATAGGGTTTTTTTTTTGTTCCCCTCCTCTCTTTCCCCCCTATTATGTTTTTACTGTGATTTTATTAGTGTTAGCCACCTTGAGCCCGGCTCTGGCTGGGGAGGGCGGGGTATAAATAAAAATTATTATTATTATTAGCATGCTTGTTTTAAGCACATGACTAACTTCACATGTAGTTTGACGCTTAAAGGTAAAGGTAAAGGGACCCCAGACCATTAGGTCCAGTCGTGACCAACTCTGGGGTTGTGGCGCTCATCTCGCTTTATTGGCCGAGGGAGCCGGCGTACAGCTTCCGGGTCATGTGGCCAGCATGACTAAGCCGCTTCTGGCGAACCAGAACAGCGCACGGAAACGCCATTTACCTTCCCGTTGGAGCAGTAGCTATTTATCTACTTGCACTTTGACGTGCTTTTGAACTGCTAGGTGGACAGGAGCTGGGACCGAGCAACGGGAGCTCACCCTGTCGCGGGGATTTGAACCGCATACCTTCTGATCAGCAAGTCCTAGGCTCTGTGGTTTAACCCACAGCGCCACCCACGTCCCACAGTTTGACCCTTAGCACCCTGCGTTTGCCTCTCCATCATTGGTCTGCTGCTCTACAATAATGCATTATGAGGTCTCATAGCCAATGGTTGGGAGGAGATCTTTGGCAAAGTAGTGCCTGGGAAGGAGGAGAGAAGAATCTGGCTTTGGGACAGTGTTGTTGTGTAAGGCACAACAGATTCCTGCCCACGCAGCAGGATTTCTACTTCTCCTCCTCTCCCCTACATCGCCCGTTGCCACATGCCCCCAGAATCAGCTCCAGAGGGTTGGGGGACCCTTGAGAGAAGATGTGGGTGGTGGTGCAGATGGCTTCACCAGTGAGGAGGAGAAAGAGAAATCCTGCTTCATGAGTTGGAACTGCAGTTGTTGTCATCCATCTGTCTTGAAATATAATGGAGTGCACCTCTGGGTGTATAGTGTTGGATGCAACTCACAGTTGCATTTATCTTCTTACTTGAAGTATGCATAGGTTGAAGAATCTGATATGTAGGAAGTAAGTAGTACTATATAGACAAAGGCTCAGAGTTCAATAACTTTTTATTATAGGTTCAAAGTTTTTAAAAAGACCTTTGTTTTCATACAAGGAAGTGTGTCGCTTAACATTTTTTTCATTATTCTCGGATGAGAAACTGATGTCTAAAATGAACTGTTTCCACTCAAAAACCAAATGAGAAGTGATCAAAGAAATTCCATTTCTCTTACTTTCTTTACTAAAACACTAAGCCCGCAACTTATGTGGGGGTTCCATTTTGGGGGTTGCGCCTAAAGCCAAAACTGCATATTGTCAAAACACATTGGGATCTGTGGTGGGTGGGTTTGCCAAAGTCATTTTCCCTGGAACCCCACCTCCTTTCTGGCCCCTTTTTAATTTTTCGCCACATGCAGATTGCTAAATGCACACAAATTAAATGCGTGTAACTTGCAGGCTTACTTTATATATCAGTTCATGGTGAATCTACATAGCTGGGTATCAGTATCTAGAAACACAACTGTTGCATGTATCTTATAACTATGAGTAGGATTGAATAATCTTCTGAATTTGCTTTCTGAAATTGGTGTAAAATTTTCATAATAATGCAGAAGAAAATTCAGTTTATATGCCTATTTAGTTTATATGTGTATTCTTTTCCTAGAACACATCAGTAATGGAGGATCAGAATGAAGATGAGTCTCCAAAGAAAAACACACTGTGGCAGGTAGGCCCCTCTGCTTTTCATTAAAATGCAGCAAATTGATGTCACCTTTCTCTTCTTTTTTCTTTTATTATTGTTTTGGGATTATTATCTTTGGCATTTCCCCAGCCATAGTGTCTTTAGATGCTATTGGTATGCTCTTAAGTTTGGCATATGCAAGAGCTACCAGACAAAATTCAGGCCTGTATCTCTATTCCTGGAATGCCTCATGTTGTGAACCACCTTGAGATCTACAGGTATAGGGGGGTATACAAATATAATATTAAATTATGGCTTGGATATACCGTATTTTTCTGTCTATAAGACGCCCCCGTGTATAAGACACCCCCTATTTTTTGGGATTCCGATTTAAGAAAATGGGGGGGAGATGGCCCCCCACGTATAAGACGCCCCCAAATTTTGGACACTTTTTTTGGGGGGGGGACCTAGTCTTATATACAGAAAAATATGGTAATTCAACTCTTGGGTTTCTTGGTGGTCTACAACAGGGTGGCAGTTACATAAACGCAGATGGATAATATAATTACTTTTAAGTTTCATCTTCACTTTGGGAGGGTTTGCTCCTGGAACTTTTAATAATCACAGCATCACTGCTCTGTTGGCCAAAATCCTTATTTTCTTTGCTTTGGGCTCCCTAATCTCAAATGGCACTTTACTCAGCTACAAATGCAGCCGTTTTGGAAATGGGGTTCATTCAACATGCCACTGTCACTTGGCATTTATCACTGGGTGAGCTTGAAGGGGTGTAGTGGTTGTGTGACACTAGCTGTTCTGGCTGTAAGATGGAAAGCGGAACAGCACAGAACCTGCAGAGCTATAGCAACTACACTTTTAACACATCACCCTACAGCCATTAAGGCTCAAAGGCCTTGGGTTGTATGCAACACCACACAAGCACTGTTCCCCTTGTGCAACAGAGCTTTCCCTTCCTCTCCCTGCATGCAGATATTGGAGTGTGCTCAGGGGGTGCCAGAGGAGAAAGAAGTTCTGTTGTGCAGAACTGGGATGGTTGTGTTGGATACAACTCAGAGCTGCAAGCTGATGGATTGTATTTTCTTGGCCAAGAAATGTAGTATGGCTGTGTGGTTATGGAAAAGTGGCAGGCTCAGTTTGCCACTTGGTTATCCACACATGCCCTGCATGTATATCAGGAATTGCTACTCATTCTAGGCAAATATAAATTACAAGGATGTTATGTGTTTCTCCTAATATTTGTTCTACTTTTTTAACAACCCTTGAATAAGGGGTCAAGGAACAGTTGTAAGGTTCACATTTATAAGTTTCAGGAGGCTTTTTCTGAGTTCTAAGGTGGACTGTCACTGTTCTTGCTTGATGTCTGAGGCCCCTGTGCACTATCGCCAAAGTTTAACAGTCAATGGGCTTTGTCTAGTGCCTTTCTGCATGGTACTGTGAATTAATCTTTTTCTCTGTGGATCGTGAATTTCGGATTCCTTGTTCACAAGTTCTTGTCATCTGTTTTGCCTTTTGCAGTCACTAGGTGGTGCTGTGAGTGCAATGATTGAGATTCTCATCAGAGATTAGGAAATTACCGTATTTTTCGCTCTATAACACGCACCCGACCATAACACGCACATAGTTTTTAGAGGAGGAAAATCCATAGGCATGCCACCCGTAGGCATTTCCTCCATAACACGCACAGACATTTCCCCTTACTTTCTAGGAGGAAAAAAGTGAGTGTTATGGTGCAAAAAATACGGTAGCTGACATGCTTGCTTTTAGTAGCCTAAGATTAATAACTGTGGAAATTACCCTAACAGCTCTCCCATCTTTGCTGTATCTTATTTTATTTTGTGGACAACTTGTAGAGATTAGAACATTTTTCACAGAATGCAGTCTAGTTAGAATAGGTGCCTGGCTTGATGCAGTTTCCAGATGCACTCAGATATTTGATTTGGTAGCTGACCCAATTTGTTCAGGTTGGCTTTACGTGAAACCACACTCGTTATGTCAGACTGCAGCTCTTGCAACAGTTTCAGTTTATGAAATTGGATCAAGCTGTTGTGAAAACTCTTGTGCCTTGTTCATGCTGTACATCTTAAAGGCAGCAAGCTTATCTGTATCCAGCCACTTAACTAGCTAGTTTGTCTTTATCACTGTGTATACGTACGTCAATCAGAAGTATTGTTTGTTTAAGAAACTGATCATAAACAACTGCTGGAATAATGTGCACAACTTATTCCTTTATGGGGCAGGGGGGAGATCAACGGACAGCAATTCAGATGCTGAAATCCATAATAGTACCCACATGGAAATGAAATGTCAAAAGAATGTACCAAATGTGTGCAGACTAATGTTTGATGGGAAAATTCTGGTCCAGAGTGCAAAAAAAGGTGTTCCAATAGCTATTTTGTTATTGATTGATTGATTGGTTGGTTGGTTGGTTGTTGTTGTTAATTTTAGTTATATCTAACCTTTTCCCCCGAACGTAGAATTTGAACTGCTGATATGGTTTAATTTTGTGTTCTTAAAAAAACAGATAAGCAATGGAACTTCATCTGTGATAGTCTCAAGGAAACGACCATCTGAAGGAAACTACGAAAAGGAAAAAGACTTGTGTATTAAATATTTTGACCAGTGGTCTGAATCGGATCAGGTTGAATTTGTGGAACACCTTATTTCACGAATGTGTCATTATCAGCATGGACATATTAATTCTTACCTAAAGCCTATGTTGCAAAGGGATTTCATCACTGCTTTACCAGGTAAGCTGCATCACATTTAAAAGAAGGAATGTACAAAATGGGTGTGTGCTATGATCTAATATCATTTCTTGTTAATGGAGTCAGTACGGTGCATATTTAAAAAAACAGCCAGCTATGTCTGAATAATTGCAGTGGCCACTGGATGCCAGTATTGTTCCATCTAAACATAGAGTGTGCCTTGTTTGTCTTTAAATGGGATTTTATCTGAAGTGCAAACTGTATTTTAAACTTCTCAAACTTACATGCAAGACTTGGGCTGTATTTTTCAATGCTGTGTTTCCTAGCTACTGTTAGAAACTGTCTCAGAGGTAAAACAAGGTCCATACCTTTTCAACTAACCTAGTTATTTTGGTTTTCATGTACCAGGTGCATTGTATTAAAACTAGCCTAGTAGCTTTTCTTTCTAAAACTTTTGTTTCAAAACTGGATGGGTAGTTAAAGAAACTGCTTCATACACTTGTTCATTATGAGACTCAGTATTATTGTGCTAGATGTAATGCCTCTTTGATCCTAGACAGATAAGCTCACTGAAGTTGTTATGACTTCCTTTGACAGCCCTCAGGACTTGGATTGTAATTAGTTTTAGACTTATTTATGCTGATATGGGTCTTCCTATTCCTCAACAGATTGATTAGATATATTCACTGTTTTGTGCCTAGTATAATCTTGATATGGATGTCTTTGAATATTATAAAACCCTAGATATAAAAGGAAGAAGGAATGGACAGCTGGAGTGATGCTTGGCTTCCTTTTGTAAACCTGAAGACTTTTATGACCATTGTGCAATGAGTGCATTAAATTAACTTTCCTGCAGTTCTGGTATCTGAGCATACTGTCTGTTTCTATCCTTCTCAGGGAGCTCAGAGCAGTGTACTTAAGGTGCCCAGGCAATCCTCTCATCCCAGACACGGGCCAGAGGCACTCCTAAATGACATATGAGTAACGATTCCTGTGAGTTTTGCCCACACATCCCAGCTAGTTGGAAACTGTAATACAAAACAGGCATGAGAAACTGGCTGTGTATCTCACGGCCTTGACTCATGAGGAAGGACCACGTAACCTAGCGGGATGCTGTAGGACGGAGAGCTTTTTATGGTATGGGGAGAAGAGTGGGATTTGGGGAGGTGTTACTGATGCACCAAAAGCTTGAGGATCTGCCTCTGAACCCGTAATGGATCGCAAAACACTCTTATGGCAGGCATGTCCAAAGTCCATTTCGGGGGTCTAATCCAGCCCACTGGTCGGTTTAATCAGGCCCCAGTGGCAGTTTATTTCCTGGGGTAAAATCCTAAAAAAATCTCAACAACTTCAATCCTCAAAAAAGGTCAACAACTGTGGTCGGCCCTTTGGTCAGCCCTCACGGCCCTTCACTTCATCAAATCTGGCCCTCTTTGAAAAAAGTTTGGCACCACTGTTCTATGGCATGGAATAAGTGAAAAGGATAAGTGCTGCATGGGCTGCTGTCTGAGAGTGGCAGGTTGATGCAGCAAGCAAGCAGGTTCTGAATCTAAAAACAAGCAGAAGGTCAAAGCTGTATAAATTGGTAAGCAGTTAGACTCATCAGTATTAGGCTCACCAGACAGGTAATTTTTTTCTTTTTAAAGGTAGCCTTATGGTTGGCAACGGGCTGGCATAGTTTAGTTGAGTCTGCAGAAACTCCCTGTGTGACCTTGAGGCTTTGCTTTGTTCACCCGAAACCTCTGCATGCCTTTCTCAAAATTGTAGGGGCTATTATTTACCTACAGAGATGTTGTAAAGTGAAAGAGCGAATATAAAAAAAATGTTTCCTTATACAATGGTGTGTGTCCTCTAGAGGCATCCTGAGAGATCTATTTCTAGTATATCTTTCTAAAACATTTAGTCAAGCACAGGTCTGTAGGAGTGATAATGGGCTTACCTGAAGAAATGAATTTTTGGACCTTTCCTTCTTCTCTCTGCTATACATAAGGGTGTTAGGATTTTTATCTAACCAGCTGCTGTTAGATAACCTGCTGTTATCTAATCTGCTGTTAGCCCCCTTTGTCACTTTTCCTCACTCCTGATTCCATAGTTTTTTTTCATGCTCTTTCCATAGCCTGGATCTAGCTCTAGATCTAGTTGGCACTTTCCCATCTTTGGTAAGAAGGTGGGAGGGGCTTTTTGCAGGCTAATACAGTGGTACCTCGGGTTACATACGCTTCAGGTTACAGACTCTGCTAACCCAGAAATAGTACCCCGGGTTAAGAACTTTGCTCCAGGATGAGAACAGAAATTGCGTGGCGGCAGCGGGAGGCCCCATTAGCTAAAGTGGTTCTTCAGGTTAAGAACAGTTTCAGGTTAAGAACGGACCTCCGGAACGAATTAAGTACTTAACCCGAGGTACCACTGTACAGGCATAGGCAAACTCGGCCCTCCAGATGTTTTGGGACTATAACTCCCATCATCCCTGACCACTGGTCCTGTTAGCTAGGGATGATGGGAGTTGTAGTCCCAAAACGTCTGGAGGGCTGAGTTTGCCTATGCCTGGGCTAATACTTCTGTGGGCTTATTTACAAGGCTGGCCTATGCCTATTTCCTGGCTGGATGGGCCTTGCAGATATGGACCATGCCAATTTAGTAGTCCTGAAACCTTGCGCCTTTTTAAAGCCAGCTGTAATATTTGTTCTCCTTCTGCGCTGTTTTCCACAGTCTTTTGTATGCAAATTTTAGACCATCCATAGCAAAAGGCACTTGGAATTGCTGGAACACCATTGATCTCTGGCGATATTTTACCATCTAACATGTGCCAGCTTTGATTAAATATTAAATGTCTTGATTTCACATTGCAGTATCTAGAATCTTCAGTCATGTGCTTTAGAAAATTTCCATTGCCCATTTGGGGGAGGGAAGATACTAGAATTTAGGATCTTCTAACACCTGCCCATTGGCCTTTCAATATACTTTCTGCAAAGGTTTTCTTTGGTTCATCTTCACTGAGCAATGAAATTCCTGTCGTTTGGGCTGCATGAAACCTTGGTATGTGATACAAATTGTGCTTTCTGTATGAAGAACAGTTTCCATTTCCTGTGACATGTTTGGTTAGTTTGCAGTTGTAAGGATGGTGTTGTAATACTAGCACTGTGAGCAAGCACCAAGTGGCATTGAAAGATTTGTGTTCTGGGGCAATCTTAAAATCTTACAAATGAAGAGGGGGGAAAAGATGTTTGCATAATCTTGATTATGGCACACACATGGCCTTGGCCGATTATCCTGTCAGCTGTTCTGAATTAATCCCATAATTGGCTAATGCCACATTAAAATAAAATGTTCTGAAAAAAATATTCTCATATAAACTTAAATAATGCTCAAGTTGCTCTCGCTTGCTACCATCCATTCTGGATTTTGCACCTGTCCGCATGCAGACAAGATGGAAAATAGTTGTGGTCTCTGGCTTCCTTTGAGTGGAAAAAGTGATAATTATGATATGAACTTTCAAAAAATGGTGGTAGAATGTTTGGTTTGCATAGTCTGTTCTTGTCAAGTTAGTTTGTGGTTAGCAATGAAGGCGTATGCTTCAAGCGAGGCAAGATGTATTGTCATGCTGTGAATAAGATGTTGCTGAAATAGAGCCTGGAATTGACCCTGCAGGTGTTGTGTTTAGATAGCCTCAACTTTTCTTACTGCTGGGTTATATTTTCTTGAAAGTTTTACTGCAGTGTACTTTTTCATAGAACATCAGACAGAAACAATGTCTTGTGGAGAAGGAGTGCTGCAGCCTGAATAACTGTACCCTTTTGCATTTTTAGCTGTTCTCCACTGCTTAGTTTGATCTATGAAAAGGCACTTTGCAACAGTTAAGTCTTTCTTAGCAACTAGCAGGCTTGAATTGGAAAGACCATTTTGTTCATTGAGTTAGCTCTTTGCCCTTGAGTCCCCGAGAGAGGATTAGGTGACCCAAGTGTACCTTTTGTTGTACACCAAGGTGTAAGTTGATGGTTTGAGATATCTGCCACTAGGCAGTTCTTTCCTTTACCATAGTAGCTGATTGTGTTGGACTCCAGATTCCCATTGGCCATAGCCAGCATTCCCAGTGGGTAGTGGTAGTGGAAGTTGAAGTCCCAACAACAGCTGGATGGCTATAAGTTACCCACCCTCGCTTTATAACCAGAACAGTGTTGGAAATTCACCAGGCACATTTTGCACCTGGCTATCCCGCGAGTGGCGCTGTGGGTTAAACCACAGAGCCTAGGATTTGCCGATCAGAAGGTCGGCGATTCGAATCCCCGCGACAGGGTGAGCTCCCATTGCTCAGTCCCAGCTCCTGCCAACCTAGCAGTTCGAAAGCACGTCAAAGTGCAAGTAGATAAATAGGTACCGCTCCAGCGGGAAAGTAAACAGCGTTTCCATGCGCTGCTCTGGTTCGCCAGAAGCAGCTTAGTCATGCTGGCCACATGACCCGGAAGCTGTACACCAGCTCCCTCGGCCAATAAAGCGAGATGAGCACCGCAACCCCAGAGTCGGTCAGGACTGGACCTAATGGTCAGGGGTCCCTTTACCTTTATCAACCACTTGTCATCAAGTGAAAATGTCCGCATGGCACCTGACGTCTCCACCATCTGGAGATGCATGCCTGTGGATCCTTGGAGCTTGACTGTTTTCATACACTAGCAGCACACCTTGTAGAATTCTGTCTGTGATACTTTATCTGCACGATCAGAATGAATTTGAGGAACCAAAAAGTCGTAGTGAAAAATATGACTCTAGAGCTGTCTGGCCCCAAAATGGCAACTAGACATTCTGTTTTGATGACTGTAACCCTGGTTTAAGAAGCTATTTGGCACCTAGTTTATATATCTGAGTTTCTAACACTGAACAAGAAGGATAACAAAAATCCTTATGTTTAAGGAGCAAAACTGACCTGGGGCTATATATAACCTGCATAGTTAACTTTGATGGCTTTCCAGTTATCCTGTTTAGCTTTTATCTGTTTTTATATTGAGTAACTTTCAAACAGTGATGGTCTTTTGTGGCCTTAGGAAAGAGTTATTGAGAATATAAGGTAAATCAAGAATTCTAATACAGTGGTACCTTGGGTTACATACGCTTCAGGTTACAGACTTCGCTAGCCCAGAAATAGTACCTCGGGTTAAGAACTTTGCTTCAGGATGAGAACAGAAATTGTGCCCTGGTGGCGCGGCGGCAGCGGGAGGCCCCATTAGGTAAAGTGGTGCTTCAGGTTAAGAACAGTTTCAGCTTAAGAACGGACCTCTGGAACGAATTAAGTACTTAACCCGAGGTACCACTGTAAACTAAAGTAAGTTATATTTAAGGGGGAAAGCCAGTAATTTTAGGTATGGAATACTGTTTTCTGTTTTTATATGTAATACTAAGTATAATATAGTAAATATTATCATAAGCCAGTCATGTCACCAGCAGTGTGTGTTCTTTTTTTAGTAGTACAGCAAACCAGGAAGGATATACAGTGGTACCTCGGGTTAAGTACTTAATTCGTTCCGGAGGTCTGTACTTAACCTGAAACTGTTCTTAACCTGAAGCACCACTTTAGCTAATGCGGCCTCCTGCTGCTGCCGCGCCACCGGAGCACGATTTCTGTTCTTATCCTGAAGCAAAGTTCTTAACCTGAAGCACTATTTCTAGGTTAGCAGAGTGTGTAACCTGAAGCGTATGTAACCCGAGGTACCACTGTAACTAAAATCTGATCAACAATACTTTATGTGGAGATTTTATAACCGGCTCTTCAATTTCCAAAAGTTCCCAGAGCAGGAGCATCCGAAAAATATCTGTGCAATATTGTGCAATCCAAACCAAACTGACATAATTAAAATCAATACAAAATTGAAATCAATAAAAAATGAGTGTAGCCAGATATAATGGATAACTTAAAGGTAAAGGTAAAGGTACCCCTGCCCGTACGGGCTAGTCTTGTCAGACTCTAGGGTTGTGCGCCCATCTCACTCTATAGGCCGTGGGCCAGCGCTGTCCGGAGACACTTCCGGGTCACGTGGCCAGCGTGACATCGCTGCTCTGGCGAGCCAGAGCCGCACACGGAAACGCCGTTTACCTTCCCGCCAGTAAGCGGTCCCTATTTATCTACTTGCACCTGGGGGTGCTTTCGAACTGCTAGGTTGGCAGGCGCTGGGACCGAGCAACGGGAGCGCACCCCGCCGCGGGGATTCGAACCGCCGACCTTTCGATCGGCAAGCCCTAGGCGCTGAGGCTTTTACCCACAGCGTCACCCGCGTCCCAATGGATAACTTACAGGTATGCTAACAAGGACCTTGCTCAAGTGTGTGTCAGATGAAAGAGAATTTCACCAGCGTGAGACCAATAGTCTGACTGCTGAATTCTTGACCAATGGAAGTTTCCGAACTGTCTTCAGGAGCAGTCTTCAAGTAGTTTGGTCTCCCCTCCAAAGAAGTTACTGTGTTTGGGGTCTCGACCACATGTTCCACCATTTCTGACTATTGTCCATGCTGGCTTCATATGATGGGAGATGAAGTCCACCAATATCTGCAGAACCCAAGGTTGGGGAAAGCTGCCTTGAGCTGTCACTCAACTTCTGAATACATCTGCATGGCTACACTACAGTGGACGAAACATAAACTGAGTATTCTAGCATTTTAATTAATGTTTATTATCTCGTCCCTCAAGTCTGCTAGAGTCGGGAAATTAGCTCACTACTACTTTGATCTGTGGGATCCTTTTGATACAACTGTTCATGCAGGCTATAACATCTGTTGCAGTTTTACCTTCCTGTACGCAGATAATTGACTGGTGATAAGGAATGCTCCTTAGTCTTTTTCTGTGAGGATTCTGGCACGTCTGCCTCTTACTGGCCAGAATAGGTAGACCCCCATAGATTATAACGGCTGGCCAATATCTATAGGAGGATGGATTGGTCTACCTTGAACTGTAGAAACCGAAGTGTTTAGATTTTTAATTTGGGCTCTGATTACTCATAAACTGCAATCTCAGCCTATATAAGCAACCAAAGTGTCCAAAGGTTGAATGTTGCTATTGGAAAGTGAGCTGCTGCTAGCTTCCATTATAAAGTCTTAGTTTCATCCATTAACTTTGGATTATAGAATTGTTTTGACCTACTCCAGGCCAATTTTGCTTTACCACAAGAGAGAGGATGCTTGTGAAGTCTGAAGGAAATTAAACTGTTTTTGAAATGCACAAGCTGTTAACATTTTTAAAATTTTTCTGTCATCTCTCAAAAGCTCATTGCCACTTCCATCTTCCCATCTAATAAAGTCACCACGGTTAGATGCCGCTGGCGCACTTCAGCATGAATAGCTTTTGTGGTTGGTACTTTTGTTTTTGTCTTCCATCTGTGTTGAGGAGGAAGCTTTGCCCTTTGATTTCAGCTGCCCCTGAACTATATAATGCGCAAGAGCACAATAGTTTCCTCATCATATGCCAGAATAGTATTGACACAGGGTTGTGGGTACTCTGTGCATCAAGGAAAATTGACTGGCCAGGTATTGAATAGACATGGCTCATGCCGTCCTCACTTTATTCTGACACTTCAAAGCACGGAAAGGGTTATAGTTCTGAAGCCTCTTCATTGACCACTGCAAATCATACTTAGCTTCTTTTTCTGGCTTCCAACGGGGCATTAGCCACACTTTACAAAGCTTGTCTTTGCAGCTGTAATGGTTTGAAACTTCTTGAAAACATCAAAGCCGGGATTCTCAGGCTACTGAAATCTTCAGCCAATGCCAAATTATGTGGTGGTTTTCCTTTGCTGGCGTAGAAAGTGCATATTATTGGTTGCTAGGCTTGTACATGCTGAAACTTTAGAGCAGCGTGTCTAGTTCAGGATGGTAGCACCAGCTACTGAGCTGTTCCTGCAAGGATGGCGTCCCCTGCTCCCGAAATCAGTTTCCAGCCAAGCAGTGCAAAGACAGAAGAAAATGCATCAAGAACCAGTGCTCCAAAGAGCTCCGAATCTCTTTCAAGAGATCAGGAGATTACTTTCCCTTTATATCCACCTCCACACTTTCTCAGTGTTACACTAAAAATGTGTCAGGAATGAAAGACCATGACTGTCAATCACCTGCCTCCCCTAGTACTATGTTAAGTGGTTAATAAAAATATCAATAACAGTTTAATCCTTTTGGACAATTGTCTCCTAATTCTAGTGGAGAAGACCATGACATTTTCCTGACCCAAAGACTTTATCCCAGGACTTCTTGCTGGAACAGTGCTTGGGGGCTCCCCACCCCACAAAATAGTTATCTGTAGGATATGGGAGAACCTCGGGGCTCCCCGCCCCCCCAAAAAGAGGCTTGGGTCTCTGTTCTACAATTTGGGTGGCTTTTCAATTTGTTGGCCAACCAGCATTTCAGTGTTCTAACTAGTAAAATACTATGTTTTTTAGATAACCAGTAATGGAGTTTGAAAAGCCAAGAAAATAATAAGCTTGCCAAGTTCTATCCATAACTCACTAGGTTCCTGGGAAGAGGGTTGTTAAGAATCAAAACACAGGCAGTCCACGTGGTGGTTAATTCAACCATGTTGACTCTTCCAGGCAAATATACTAATGTGTTAGACTGAAGGTTTGACACGTAAGAAAAGACCAACAAGTATGTAATGTATGTGGCTGTTATGTGTGTGGATGTGCAGTTATTTTACTTTAGACAAATGCTCTGGAGAGAAAATGGCTTGAGACTTCTAGCTGAATGTAGATGCTAGTCTGATCCAGCCTCTGCTTGTAGGCATGCCTTTGATAAAATGGTTTTTTAGAAGCCTGGTAACCAATGTTACCATAAAGAACAAAGGCCAGGATCCAGAGCAGTATGGAGCTTTGAACTGAAATGGCAGGCTCCTAGCCATATGGCAAGCCACTTTCAAAACAGTTTCTGGGGGGTGATGGGATCTGTTCTTAGGGGAAAAAAAAGTAAAAACTTCACTGGGAGCAAGTAAGCCTTTGGGCATGCTTAAAGTAGCTCTTTGGATCCCCGTCCAGGGATAACATCATTTGGATCCATAGGCACTTTGTCACATAAGCCCAAGAGCTCCTCAAAGTCTATCACAGTTCTGTGCAATTTGCTATATAGTCAGTGTTACATTGCACTTATCCAAAACTGTGCAGTAATAAATTGGATGTAAAGGTAAAGTGACCCCTGACCATTCGGTCCAGTTGTGGCCGACTCTGGGGTTGTGGCGCTCATCTCGCTTTATTGGCTGAGGGAGCCGGCGTACAGCTTCCAGGTCATGTGGCCAGCATGACTAAGCCGCTTCTGGGAACCAGAGCAGCGCACGGAAACGCCGTTTACATTCCCGCCGGAGTGGTACCTATTTATCTACTTGCACTTTGACATGCTTTTGAACTGCTAGGTTGGCAGGAGCAGGGACCGAGCAACAGGAGCTCACCCCGTCACGGGGATTCAAACCGCCGACTTTTGATCGGCAAGTCCTAGGCTCTGTGGTTTAACCCACAGCGCCACCTGTGTCCCATAAATTGGATATAAATATATGGAAAAAAGGCTAAATCTGTTGTGTGTGACTTTCCCCCTGAGGCAGTACAGCCTCATAGCATGCACAGTACATTTGCAGGCAAGAGAGTCATTGGCTATGAAAAGACTGACAGTGCTTTCTTTTTCTTTTCTCTCTTGCTAGAGCAAGGCTTAGATCACATAGCAGAAAATATCCTCTCCTACCTTGATGCCAGGTCACTCTGTGCAGCAGAGCTGGTGTGCAAGGAATGGCAGCGAGTTATTTCAGAAGGAATGCTATGGAAGAAGCTTATTGAAAGAATGGTACGAACCGATCCGCTTTGGAAGGGGCTATCGGAAAGAAGGGGCTGGTAAGTATCTGTGCAAAATTTGCTCCTTTGCTTTAGAACAGAAACAATTCCAAGACACACTGGGCACATCTGGTCAACTTAAACTCTTAGTAGAAGGATTACATGACAGTGAATGACTTCAAAAATTGGTACTTGTGTGCTCTTACTCCCCCTTTTTTGGTCTTCAGCCTTCTTGACTACCTTTGTACTGTAAATAGCCATTATGCCAGCCACCTTAAGTGTGCATTTCTATGAGGTGGTAGAATATATTAAACTCCATATGAGCAATGTAACTTGTACGCAGCAGAAATGCTAGGAGTGGTCTCCCAGAATTACACCCATACCCAGGCATGCTCCCCTGCGCCATCAAGATACGGTAGGAACCATGCAAGCCATAGATGATCTCGGCCCCACTATTCCTTGGGTGGAATTTAACATTGTACTATTGCAAACATTCTGTCTGCACAAGCATATTAGCTTGCCAGGCAGAACGATCCTCCCCCCTTACCTTCCCCCACCCGCTTTTCTGGATGCTCTCCTGACACAAATCCTGAGCCAATTTCAGGGGGGACACACGAGGGGGTGGGAAGGCCTGTTGTGCAAGTGGAAGCCTTCACACAGGTCTTCAGCTGGCAGGGTTTGTTGGGTGACTCCTGCCCTTTGGTCTTGCTCGGGAAGTTGAGGTGGGTCTGGCTGCTCTGCTACTATAGGAAAAGCAAAAACAGGAGGTATGCAAGAGCTGTGCAGGCCCATCCTTAGCCATGTCACTGCAGTTGTACGTACTCACCCTCAACTCAGGTGATGAGCAGGGTTGTGGGTTGGTGGGGCGTAAGAAAAATGGGCAAATATAACTGGACATCCTCCGCTGGTGGTTTGTTCTTGCCATAGCAACAGTTGGCTTGTCAAGTAGGTGTCTTTAAGGACTAGAGCTGCTCTTGCCTTTTACCCTTAGTGCATTTTGCAAGGCTTGTTGTTTCTAAACGCGAAATTTCACCTCTCTCTTTTTTATTATTATAGGGATCAGTACCTGTTTAAAAACAGACCCACAGATGGCCCTCCTAATTCGTTTTACAGGTCACTGTACCCAAAGATAATACAAGATATAGAGGTATGTTTTCGAAAACCTTGTTTTAAACTGTACTGAGTTTGAAGCCTGCGTTTTCATGAAACTTCATTCTTTTGCCATGCTTTTTAGAAATGTGTTTCAGTGTTATGAGGATCTTCGGTAGACGTATTAAAAAAAAAAAGAATTATGAGAACGAGCAGCCGTGGATTTAAAGAATTGTGGATTTAAGAAGTGTTACCATAAAGTAAGGAATTGAGAAATGTGAAAGTATCAAAGCAGAGCAAGTAAGTTGATGTGATAAACTCACAATAACTTACTGAGTTGCAGGGGAAGAAGCTAATGTATTCTGATCCAGTTTTTCTGTGCACATGGAGCTGGTCTGCAGATGGTGGCCACTCCATTTATTACAGCAGAGGCAAAAGATCCATGTGTGCGTTCTTTTGTTCTCTCTGAGTTTGGTGTATACGTCAGCATTTCTGTGCCCAGAGGATCAGGGCTCTTGGCCTTACCGAAAGCTGAACAGAGCAAAGCTTCCAATATTTGCAAATCTCTTTACTCAGTTACAATTACTCAAATAGAGCACAGGAGAATTTAGCTTAGCCACTAATCCTGCCCTGTCACTAGAATAGGGCCAAGTAACTATTTCTGCTTTAAAAAAAATAAAAATATTAGTAATATAAGTTTAGATCATCAAATTTCTCCTTAGGGGTTTCTTTCTAATAGCATATCGCAAGCCTGATGATAATTGGAGTACATAGGTCTCAAAGCTTTATTATCATGAGAATTTCTATTCTATCTAACCTTTGTGCTTTGTGCTTTTCTGGTGGTGAAAGCAAGGGAGAGGGCAGTGGTTCAAAAACTGGGAGAGGAGGTTTATTCTTTTTCGCCCATTCCAAATGGGTGCTTAAATTGCAGGGGCGGGAGGGAAAAAATGATTGGCAACCTCTGCTCTTTGTTACTTACCCAGCTATAATAAATAAATAAATTTATATAGTATAAGTGAACATTACATTACAACTTACAAATTAAATTAATTAAAGACAAGGTTCTGATAATGATTGACTGGATAATGCAGCCTGTAACGTTTCAGCATGTTGTGCTCCCAGACTTCAGTAGAAAGAACATTTTTGTACCCTGCCAACACACAGAATAGTCATACAGTGGTACCTTGGTTTTCTAACGTAATCCGTTCTGGGGGACCGTTTGATTTCTCTCCCCCAGGAAAAAGAATTGCTAAATTTAGAGGATTTGATTTCTTATTTGAAGGGAATGGTCTCTTCAGAGATCTTTGTTTATGAGTAAAAGGAGAGTATTTATAGCTTTTTAGTAGGCCTGGGCGATATATCGCCCAGGACCGGTATGAGAAGCAGACCTCAATGTCGGCTTCACTCAGCAATATATATCGCTGGTGAAACCGCCACCATTCTTGAGTCCCTTTGCCAGCAGCGTCCACAGGAGGAAGTCAACAGTTCCTTCTTCCAGCAGGCAGTGGTAGCAGAGGGACTCAGGAACGGCGGAGGTTTCAACAGCAATATATCGCTGAGTGCAACTGCCATCGCACTCTGCCCTCATACGAGGCAGAGGGAGAAACAAACAGTATCAGCGAGGCGCTGATACAGCTTGTGCCTCCCTGTGCATCTTGAAACTACTTGACTGAGGTGCATGCAGCTGCCCTTGCCTCAGTCGAGCAGCATAGCTGTCAACTTTCAGATTTGAAAATCAGGGATCAGCAGCCTCGAAAATAAGGGATCAGCAGCCTCACCTGTCCCAGTCTACGGGATATCTAACAATCCGGGATAGCAGTGGGAAACAGTGGGGAACGGCGCTGGAATAAGGAAATTTCCTGCAAAAAAAGGGAAGGTTGACAGCTATGTTGAGCAGTCGGCACTGGCTCCAGCAGGGTGGGGGCTCCCTGAAACTGCTCAGCTGAGGGGAGCGTGGTTGCTGCTCCCCGCAGCAAGCAGTTAAAGGAACCCCAATGTTTCGCCCGCTTGCATGAAATGCAGCAGGGCTGTCTCAGCTGGGGAGGGGGAACCTTCTTGATCCCCAGCTGAGCTGTGCAAAGAAGTTGCATCGTCCCAGCCTGCAAGTGCCTGGGTGAAACCCCCTCAGCTCTCAAGGTGAGAGCTGGGGCAGTTTTACCCAGTGTCTCACGAGCAGAGGCCAAGGCATCTTGTTTTTTTCAACATTGCAGTATTATTATTATTATATTATTAATAACAACAACAACAACAACAATATAGATTGATTGAATTTATATACTGCCCTGTAGCCAGGGGTCTCAGGGCGGTTCACAGAATAAAATCAAGATATAAAACCACAAAATAAAAATAAAAGCAACAACCCAATAGCCCCCCCCCCAAAGAACACATTTATATAGCCAAACCGCAATGTTTGGCTGGCAATACACCATGATGTTGAAATGCTGGTATCGCCCAGCCCTACTGTTTAGTGGTTACAGTAAAAAGATTGGCATCAAGGTACAACGTAATACAAATAGTTTTATTATATCTGTTATTTCCCAGCAGTCAATCTTTTTTTATTTGTTTAAATTTGCAACCTGCACAGTTTCCAAAAGGTTGGGGCCACTCATTCATTTTAAAAATGTTAATAGAAGTAAATCAGACATGAAAAATGCTAAGAACCTTTCCTAGCCTCTCACCTCCTGCTGCTAGAAGCTATCAAAAAGAAAGTTTTTCAAAGATGCTTAGGCTTGGACGTCAACAGATCACCAAGGAGCAAAAATTACACTACCGTGGAGCAGCTATTTCTAGGGGGACACAGAGATCTGAGGCACATGATTTTTCTTGCTACTAATGTGAGCGGGAAACTGTTTAATTTATTGTGATGAGCTACATCAGTGCACTGATTCAGTTTAAAAGGAAACTGTTAAACTCAATGGCAGTGAGGAATTATGCATAGCAGAGTTGTAACCTGGCCTTTTTGACCCCTCTTTAAATTTGGGGCCAAAAATACATGCAGTTGCAAGTAGGAGTTGGCAAGTGACATTGCAGAATTGACATCAATGTGTGTTTAATCCCCTGCAAAAGAACACAGTGTTGTGGCTAAAACACACAACATTCCATTGTGTTTGGGAGGGGGTGATTATTGGAAATAGGTAAATGGTTTCTCTTCTTCCACAGTGGCAGGCAGTTGAGGGCAATAGTTTTATGAAGAGGCTTTCTTGCATTCAGGGTGGTCCAATAACTTCTGGTACTGCCTGGATACATTGTGCTGACCTGCCAGATTTAACTGTTTTAGGAACTCCCTTAAAGGGAAGACTACTTTTGGGTTCTTCCCAGGAAATTTTATTTAGGTATGCAAAACTTGTTTTTGTGGAAATCTGACTTGGTTCAGTTAATCATGTGCTTGGACACAGTCCCAAAATATTGTAGTACAATTTGACTCTTATTAGCAGACTGTGTTAATAGGCAGATTGCCAGGTGTACTGTTGATCTCCCAATTCTAAATCCCTGGGCCTTTTCCATATTATCCATGATGCTGGGCCAAATTCTTCATTATTCCTTTAGAATTAGTACAGATATAATTTATTCCTCATGAGCAGTTACAAACACTATTTTTGCTCTCCTGTCTTGTGACATATGGAAGCTCCCTGTCTCTCCCCTCCCCTGCAAGATTTTGAAGTGGGGATGAAGAATGTGGCCAGACTATTAAAAAGATTCCACCTATTGGACCCAAGGAAGGGAGAGTTAAAATATCTACCTACATTCCCTCCATCCGCCGAAACAAGATAGAAAAATGGATATATATCCATCCAGAAGTGACCAAGATATTGAAGCATTATTCACTACAAGGACTTCTGGGCACATCTGTTGCTTGATTTTCAATATACCGTATTTTTGCTCTATAAGACTCACTTTTTCCCTCCTAAAAAGTAAGGGGAAGTGTGTGTGCGTCTTATGGAGCGAATGCAGGCTGCGCAGCTATCCCAGAAGCCAGAACAGCAAGAGGGATCACTGCTTTTGCTGCGCAGTGATCCCTCTTGCTGTTCTGGCTTCTGGGATTCAGAATATTTTTTTTCTTGTTTTCCTCCTCCAAAAACTAGGTGCGTCTTGTGGTCTGGTGCGTCTTATAGAGCGAAAAATACGGTATTTCCAGCCATGCTGGAAAGATAACACAATGAGCAATATGCTTCCTCAGAATAAGTAGACTAAAATGGAATTGCAGCCCTGTGAACACTTGATTGAAGAATCTTTGCCCTACTTGCCCTCAGAGTTCCTCCTCCTTTCACCACCGCCACCACAGACACTCTTATAGTTGCTGTGGAGCTGTTTCAGGTGCTATCTAGGGCAGGAACCAAAAATGAAAGTTAAGAGCTGCACACATGCAGCCTCCTTAGTGCTGCCTTGCATTATGGTGATCATTATTCCTGCTCCTCTTGTTCTTCCTTCTAATCAAAGTGACAGTAACTATTAAGGCTTAGAACGAAGATCGAGAGACACTCATGCAGTTTCTATGGCCGTATTCTCTTTATGTAGTATGGTGCTAGGAATGTTGCAGAAAGGCATCATTTACTTCTAGGCTGATGTCAATAGCTCTAAGGATTAGTTCTCCCCTCTGATGTAGTAGATCTGTTGTCCGGGTGACACCACTCACCAACTGCAGGACAGGCACATATGACTTGATCATTTGTCCATACAAAAAACAAGCTCAGTGAAGAAAGTGAGAATATCAAAGAGAAGGTTAGGCTGGATTTCTCTTTCGCTTAATATGCTTGTTTCTCTATGGAGGGCTTTGATTTGTTTTGTTAGTAAGAGCATGATGTCATATTAACCCTCAATTGCACTGAAACAGTATGGTCCAGACACGCAGACTTCCCACTTTAGTAAGAATTACATGTCTGGCTAGAAGCCTTTTTTAAAAAAAGAAAACCCACTTGTAATTGTCATAGTAGGGCAGTACAGAACATAGTACAGCAGTACATAGTATAGCAGTGGCCCTAGACTCCTGAAGGCAGCTGTAAATTACAAGGCTGATAAATTGGAAAGACCATCCAAGGTCATTTTCCATAGCTGATGCTAGGACTGCATGCACTCAATACTGAAATAAATAAAATAAGCAATCAGTCAGCTCAAATTCTGTACGAAGAAAAGCTGGATTCCATAACCCCTATAAAGTCTGCAAACTTTGCATAATTTCCCTCCACAATTCTGCCATTTTCAATATGGAGGATGCAGAAATCTTGATGCACATCTTAACGAGAGGGGAAGACTCGTGTGGGAAAAGGTGCTCCCTAGGGCCAACGCCATTTAGGTCTTCATAGATCGCACCCCAGAGCCTTGGAATGAGACCAGAGCTTCGCCATTTCAGCAAGAAGATGACTTAATACGCCCCACCTGAGCCCAATTCCTGCTAAAGGCAGGATTCTATCTGTACAGTCTTCAAGGGCAACCTCAATTAGAGTATGTTGAAACAATCCATGAGGCATCACAAGGCATCAGTCACAAGTACGGCAAAATGAAAGTGCACCAGTGTTAGGTGCTCCTGGTTCTTGGTTTTGTGATTGGCCTGTCATGCCTGCATCAGACCTGCATATATTAGAAATATGTTTCATACCTGCAGCCTCCAATGTGCCTGGTTACAGAGGGCTGCATTCAGCAGGGCCTTTTCCTGATGGTCCTCAAAGGGCCCACCCACTCAGCTATATTTAGTTCTCTCGAATCCTTCTGCTCTGTAGTCGCATATGTTTCTACTCCTGCCAATTTCTGTGCAGCTGTATACTTTTTGTGTATTGTGGCTACTTTCCCAGTATACTGGCAACTGACACGGCAAAGGGGATTTTACAAATTCTCAAAAATACAAAATATTTTCCCACAGTAGCAACACCACATTAATGTGTCTCTGAAATCACATCTACTCATAGAATTAAACTGTGCACCTGCATGGATCTTACTGATTCACAGCTCTCTGGCCCGAGGATGAATAACACGCTCCAGTTGCTTTGATTTGCAGCCCACATTTTCTTCTGGTAACTTTATAAAGGAGCTTTTTAAAAATCTGAAAATTGCACAAAATGGAAAGCATGTTTCTCCCTAAACCCTTAGGTAGAATTGTTTTGACTGGTGTTTTATTTGGTGAACAGGCGCTTATGTGCAATACCTCAAGAATCAGTGGCATGCCAAAATATGTGACTGATTCAAGTGCCCACGTGGCCACTGTGGAGAACTGTAAACAACTGAAGCACATATGTATAACCATATGAATTAGCCAGTTAATACTAATCAACTGGGTTTCTGTGTTGAGTACAACCCGAGTCTTGCAGGACTATTTTATGCCCATCCAACATAGACTGAATTTATTTTAAATCTATGTTTCAATCAGTTGTTTGAAGGGGGGAAAGACAGGTTTATATCAAGTTTCCCATTTTATAATAAATGCATTTCCTGGGAGTGTTTATACTATCTAAGAGTACACTCCAGAACTTGTGGTCATGCAACTCCTGTGCCTTTTGTATAACCCAGTTGTAGTGGTGTACACAAAGAGGAACAACTGTGAAATTTACAGATTTTTCCTTGGCTATGTGTTCGCATGCAGAAAACAATGCAAGGTCACTTATTTTAAAACAAAGTTAGGTGTGCACAATCTGGAATTATGGGTGATTAGCTACAGGGCAAAACAGTGTTTCCCCATGAGAGGGAAAGTAAATGTCCATGCTGTTTGGCTGTTTGCCACACTAGTAAATATATAAACTACTGCAGAGCTTTCCAAACTTTTCATGTTGGTGACACACTTTTTAGACATGCATCATTTCATGACACAGTAATTCTGTTTTACTAGCAAGCCAGAGGTTAAACTAACCCCTTTCCAGCCCTGGGAGGAGCGCAGGGAGAATTCACAGACACATCTATACACTGCAGTCGACGCACACAGTTTGGAAAGCTCTGACCTCTATTCCCTCTATTTGCAAAGTTTGGAGAGGAGTTAAAATCTTTTTTGTTGCTAAAACTGCACCACTGCTGCACCTGAGAGAGGTATAAGTAGGCTCAGGGGATACTGTAATGTTTACAAAACCCCTTTTTTGTGGGATGGACTCCTCTGCAGGGAGTTGCAAACCCCACAAAACAATCCAAGACACCAAACATTGAGTTAGACGGAAAAGAAAAGCAAGTAATTGGGGGAGAGAGAGAAATAAGCGGTCTGGTGGGAAGTTACTGATGAAGAAGATGTGGTCATGGCACAACAAAATGCTACTGATTACTTGGCAGGCAGAAAAGGCTAGTGAAGACTCAAGACAAGGGGTACAGGAGGCAGTTATTTCTCTATGCCTCTTCCTCCATTGAATTGTGCTCCATTATTCCCCTTCTCTTTCTCCCTCCCAGGGAATTGAGCAAAAGAGGATGACAAAAGAGGCACATAGATATAAAAAAGGTACAGAGAACCATTTCATAGTTCACACCTGGAATTATTTATGTGTCTGTGTGAACCTCCCAGCAACTTGGATGGGTGATGCATAAATAAATACTAAGGGTTGCGTGAAACACTGTGCAAGCAGAGTTCCACTTGTGCAGTGGGACTTCCCCTCTTCCCTGCCCCTCACACTCCCAAAATCTGCTCTGGAGCGTTCCCCAACACCCCCTTGACTTAATTTTGAAGGCACGTAGGGAGGTGAAGGGGACTTGAGAAGAAGAGTAAGTTTTGTTGGGTGCACAGACGCCGCTTGTGCAAGCCTAGCTGCAGTGTTGAATACAGCCCTAGATTATTTTAAAATGTCCCTAGGAATGGAAGTGAGAGTTGCCTATAGAAATTGGGGGAGAAATTCAAGATTTTAGCATAACCCAGGATTGGCCACCCTCCAAAATATCGCAGCAAAAAGAAGAGTTGTGCGCTTTCTCAGTTTTTATTTAAAACAGACACATTTAAAAAATAGTCCTGATTATGCAAATTCCTAAGAACATTCAGTGCACTGTCCCAGTATTTCAGATTTGAAGAGACTCTTGCTGTGAGACAGTGACCATGACAGCCCTATGGTGCCACACTGAATATTTCAGGGTAGGCACTGAATGGTTTACAACAGCCCTGTGGCATTGCCCAGAGGAATTAACCTTCAATAGAGAGTCTTAAGTTTGGGCTGAGAGTTGCTTACGACGACCCTTCCATTAAATCCACTGCTTTTAATCCCCATGGTGCAAGTTGGGTTGAAAACGTAATGTGCAGCAGCAGGGTAGTCCACTGTTAATATTGCAAGTTAGAGATTGGGCAAAAGCTGACTGGTTTGGATTCCCAATCTAAAAATCCCTCCTGCCTCTCAGGTAACAGTCTGTAACAGTCAGTCTGTTCAAATTAACTCATAAATCCTCTTTCCAGGTTAATTCTGGCATTTAGGTGTCTCACACTGCAGTGACTTGCATGTAGACGTGTGGTTTTCCTTTGGACAAACTGGGTTTGCAGACTGAATCGCCTTTTGCCACAGAATTCTATGTTCATTAACTCAGATGCTGCTTTCTACCTGATATGACAACTCTGAGGGGTGTTAAGGGAAGGCTTGGGATAAATTAGAGAACAATCCTCTTCTTATCTACTCATAGACATGTCTACTCATGTTCCATTATGTTCAGTGAGGCTTTCTTCCAGGTAAGTGGGTATGGAATTGCAACGTAGTCTTAAACATGTGTGATATGAAAACGTGTCGGGATTCTACATCACCCACCCCCTTTTTTGTGGTCTCTTTTAGACTATAGAGTCTAACTGGCGATGTGGAAGGCACAACTTGCAAAGAATTCAATGCCGTTCTGAAAACAGTAAAGGTGTTTACTGTTTACAGTATGATGATGAGAAGATTATCAGTGGCTTAAGGGACAACTCCATTAAGGTAAATAGGCCTTTCTTGACTACTTTTTGTCTTGTTTCTGGTGAGAGCATTTGTTCACGTCTGCCAACTCTACAATTCTACGATTCATTGCTGCACAAAAATAGAATATTGCTTGGTTGAACCTGAAGAAGTCTTGAGCCCTTACTAATAGTCTAGAATACAACATGCTGCCCATTGAACTCTGCTACATTCTGCTTTTCGCAAGAAGAAGAAAGAGCAGATCTGAAAAAGCAGGATGTAATTCTTAAAAATTCTCTTCTATTCCAGAGGTTTATGTATTTATTATTGATTAAGCATGTATTAAGGGACGCGGGTGGAGCTGGGTGTTAAACAACAGAGCTTAGGGCTTGCCAATCAGAAGGTTGACGGTCCGAATCCCCATGACAGGGTGAGCTCAGTCCCTGCTCCTGCCAACCTAGCAGTTCGAAAGCACGTCAAAGTGCAAGTAGATAAATAGGTGCCGCTCCGGCGGGAAGGTAAACGGCGTTTCCATGTGCTGCTCTGGTTCACCAGAAGCGGCTTAGTCATGCTGGCCACATGACCCAGAAGCTGTACACCGGCTCCCTCGGCCAATAAAGCGAGATGAGCGCCGCAACCCCAGAGTCGGCCACGACTGGACCTAATGGTCAGTCGTCCCTTTACCTTTAAGCATGCATTAAACCCTGTTATTCAATTTAAAAGAGAATGCCCAAGGCAGCTATCACAGTATGAGAGCATGTCAGAGCATAACACAGATGAATACAATATTTTTTTTTTTAAAACACACACAAAAAATCAGTGCTTGTAGTCTGCCTCATTTTCTTGAATTAAGCATTTCTCATCACATGAGAGGAGAATGAGAACGTGCTCACTGGCACTGTCCCTTTTATCGTGTTTTGGTGGCCTGTCTCTGCAGCCCCTCAATGTGCTAAGGCTGAAACACTATAGTGGGGAGGCTCGTATAGGCTCCCCATACTGTTCATTCATGGTTCTAAGCGACATGGGCACCCTATGATAGTGAATGCATCCTTTCTGCGGACGTTGAGCCTCAACAGGGGGAGGGTGGCATTGCCAAGCTGCTAGGAATGTGACAGAAGATGCAAGGCAAACAAGTGTGCTCCCCATGCAGTTGGGAATGTGTGAACACATGAACAGTGTTTGGGAAGGAGGAGAAAAGAGGTTTGGGGACTGGGGGCCATTAGAGGACTATAGATCTTAATTAAGTCACTTTTGCACCATCTTACCCAGTTCTACTTTCTGATGCTTCTGCAAAAACCACACGTGCATTCTCAAGCTTATTTGTAACCAGGGGAGCCAGAATATAATTTTTCTTTAAAACGTTGTAATGCTGGGGTATTAAGGAAGAATGGCAGTCAGGATTCTGTGATTATTATTATTTTTAAAAAAACCTCCCTCTGCACAACACTATAATTCAGATACTCAAGTGAATTATGTATTTCTGTGTTTCCGGAAAGGCATAGAAAGTATAGAAGAAACAAGTGGGGAAACCCATGTCCGCAGGGACTGTGGACTCATTTTGACATGGCTTTACAGATAGTGATTCTGCAGTCATATAATTCTCTTGGGTTTCTGTTTGGCAGATCTGGGATAAAACAGGATTGGAATGTTTGAAAGTATTAACAGGACATACTGGCTCCGTTCTCTGTCTGCAATATGATGAAAGAGTAATTGTAACTGGATCTTCTGACTCCACTGTGAGGTGAGCATTTTTGTAGCTGCGAAACTGGTGAGAAGGATGATGCAAAGGGAAAATTCACAGCCAGTGAAAGGTACAACCTTTCTTGAGAAAAGAAGGGTTGCCCACCTAAATCTGGAATTCTCTAGATTCTCCCATGTTCCTGGTACTAATCAGTCTTGGGTTAACAGGCCAATTAAGGACTGTATCCAACAAAGCAGTTCTGCCGGCACAACAAGGACTTTTAGCTGTGCAGTGGAACGTCCCTGCCCTCCTTCTCTCCTTGCATGACCCCGTAAATCTGTTCTGGAGGGTTAGGGAAAACCCCAGAACAGATTAATTAAATACTGTGAATTATGGCTTCTGTCTTTACAATTGCAGAAACACTTCAGTCTCTGTGCAACACCTAAAATGTTGTTGGATGGGGACAGTTGGCAGAGGATAATGGGTTGGCATGAGGAAAAGACATAACCTTCTTCTGTCAGCCACATTTCCCAATAATACAGCCAATATGTTGAATTTGGGGGAGACCTTGGGAAGACAGTTACAGAAGCTCCATAGAGGAAGGGATAAGCACCCTCTCCCACACACCACTGCTGCCTTACATCATCCCGATGGCTTATAGCAGTTTGAGAGCCAACATTGCTTTCAGGACCTGGGTCTGCCCCTAGTCGTGCGGTTTTGTCTCCTAGCAGCCCTGTAAAAGTGACTTCAAACAACAAATGGGACTTAACCACCCTCGCTTAAACAAGAGTCCATTCCTTCAGGGTCTTGCAAAAGAACAATGTCAAACAACAATTGATGACCTTCTACCGGTCCACAATAGAAAGTGTCCTCTCATATTGTATCACAGTGTGGTATGTTGGCTTGACAGCCATGGAGAGAAAGTCTTTACAGAGGGTGGTGTACACAGCACATGATATCATGGGCTGTCCCCTGAGTCCGCTAGATGACATCTCAAGGGATCGTTGCCTTAGGAGAGTGAGAAAAATTCTCAGGGACGATTCACACCCCGGCCAGCACCTCTTTAATCTTCTACCCTCGGGCAGGAGATATCGAAGTATAATGAGTCGTACTAACAGGCTAAAAAACAGTTTCTATCAGTGGCCTGTTATGCTGCTGAACAGAAAATAATATAGTGCAACTGACTTTCGGGGTTGGAGTGTTGTGCGACAAGCACACAGAGTGCAATGAGATTGAGTGTTTGTGGGGGGCGGGGAAGGGAAGCTCGGTTAATTTCATTGTACACGGGTTGTACATTGACAATAAAGGTATTATTCTTATTCTTAACTGCTGAAAGTGGACAGGGCTTTGAGCGCTTGAACATGGAGATGGATGGTGGTGTGACTGCAACAATGATGCTGCACTACTGATGATATTTAATTGTTATAGGTTAGAAAATAAGTGTTCAGGAATAGTGTGACATTAGCAGTTTGTGGTTTGAAACAATTAAAGGCTCACCACTACCACCTCCCATGAAACTAGCTTTTGATTGCACAAATGATTTGATGTGTGTATATGTGCTTTTGCAGAGTTTGGGATGTGAACACAGGTGAAGTCCTCAACACACTGATTCATCACAACGAGGCTGTGCTTCACTTGCGTTTCAGCAATGGCTTAATGGTGACCTGTTCAAAGGACAGATCTATTGCTGTCTGGGATATGGCCTCACCGACTGACATCACTCTGCGCCGCGTATTAGTTGGCCATCGGGCGGCTGTTAACGTCGTTGACTTCGACGACAAGTATATTGTATCTGCTTCTGGTGATAGGACCATTAAAGTAAGTGGACAACCAGTTTCTCAAAATTGCAAATTCAGAAAGGAGTTATGGGAGAATAAGTTTGGTCTCTAACTGACGTGTTGCTGAAACATCCATTAAAGTAGTTTCTAAGGATAGTGGTTGTATGTATGGCATTCCCCATATGCAGCCTTTCTCAACCAGGGACCCCTACATCTTGTTGGACTACAACTCCCATCATCCCTAGCCAGCTTGGCCAGTAATGATGGGAGCTGTAGTTCAGGAACATCTGGGAACTCGCTGTTGAGAAAGACTGCTTTAATAGCTTTAAGCTTTTTTTAGATATTTCCCTTTGTAGCACACTGTTGTCATGAGGTTAAGCAGAGCAATTTAAGTGGGAAAACCTTATTCTTGCCCAGGGGCAGATTGTGACCTTCCAGTTCTCTCTACCTAGCCCTTGAGATTCTCCCCAAGCACGTCCTCTCCTCAAGGACTTTTGCTTGGCTGGTGTGTGCCTAGATGAAGGATGGGGAGATTGCGGGCAGGGTGTGTAGAATCCTCTGACTTTTTGCATATCTGAAATATAGCCCAGTGTACTAAGATTGGAGTCACATACATTACTTTGGCCTCTGACCACGCCCACCATTGGCATATGTGCCCCCCCTCCAATCTTCCCGGGGGGCGGGATGTGATCTATAGTCTGAAAAAAGGGAAGGCTTTCGGAATGAAAACGGTATTTTATCTTCATCTCACTTCATCTCTCTCTTTTAATGCAGAATTTCAAAATGTGCCAAATTGCCATTATCTCTTTTGCAGTTAAATATTTATTTTCCTCATAGGTCTGGAGCACAAGCACATGTGAATTTGTTCGCACTCTTAATGGGCACAAGCGAGGCATTGCTTGCCTGCAGTATAGGGATCGGCTTGTTGTGAGTGGATCATCAGACAATACCATTAGGTAAGGGGTGGGTGGAATCTGTGAAGATAAATGGAAACAGTACTGTTTCATTGCAACCCCCTTTTCATTTGACTGCCCAAGCACCAGGTTCCAGTTTTTTGTCGTCTTATCTTGCTGGATTTCATTTTTTTTTTAAGGTTTTGTTTTTTATGTATAGCCTGTCCTATCTTTCTTCCATTGTGGAACCTAGGTGATACGCATCTGGTTCCCAGGAGGGGACCCAGGAATGCTTAGCTTAAACTAGGCAGCAGCCTCACGTGCCTTCAGGCCGCCCCCAGGGATCTGTGTGCTTTTCTTGGCCATTCTTAGTTCAGTTAGCTGTTTGTCACAAACTTGATCCCCTGGTGGAAGTAGCAGTTGGCCGCAGGTGAGCTTCTAGAAGAGGAAGATGCCATTGCACATGTTCAAAGCTGCTGGCTTCTTATGTATGGCCAGTGTTGGACAGAGTTTGGCCAAATAATAATAATGACAACAACAACAACAACAAATTTATTTATTTATATCCTTTCCAACTGGCTGGGTTTCCCCAGTAGCATCAGCTCAGAGGGGAGACAGTGCTAGGGTCAAAAGCAATTGGGACAGGGAAAGGCTGTATGGAAACTCGCTTGCCGTTTTGAAAAATGGTCTTAACGCAAGCTCTGCTTAGTACATTAAATTACTTTGAGCCAAGTAATCAAGCTTAACCACTGGTGCGAGAGGGAAGCAGTGAGCCCTACTCCAGGGAATCTGTCCAGCGTGGCCCCCAAGTGATTCAGCATCCACAACCAATGTTGTGTTGAGTATAGACTTTTCAGAAATGATTAGGTCAAGCTGTGATGGAAATTGCAAAAGGTATATAAGAAAGAATATATGCGTTGTTGCTTTTATTTTTTTGTACGTGTTCCTTCTTTCAGGCTTTGGGATATCGAATGCGGGGCCTGTTTAAGAGTGCTAGAAGGACACGAAGAACTGGTTAGGTGCATCAGATTTGATAACAAGAGGATTGTAAGCGGAGCCTACGATGGGTATGTGCTTAAAAGCGAAGTTCTGTTTTCACTTGGGAGGTTGGTTTTCTGTGGTTCTTAGTACTCGGAGGCTGTTGTAGTTTTCTCACTGCCTTTTCTCTCTTTGCTTCATAGCAAAATCAAAGTTTGGGACTTGCAAGCTGCTCTTGACCCTCGTGCCCCAGCAAGTACACTATGCTTACGTACATTGGTGGTATGTACATCAACTATACAGATATTATTGTACAGCAGTAGTACATGTTGACCGTACTTTTGTCTGCTTGTTTCTAAATCTACTACCTTGTAAAGGAGTGGAAATTTGGTGTGTTTATGCCAGAGGATGGCAATACCAGAATGGGCCTTTTCTGCGATGGCTCTCTTTTTTTTAATTACCAGGGAAACTCACCTTGCACCTTCATTACATATCTGTAGGCACCAGGTGAAAACGTTTCTCTTTAACCAGGCTTTTTGCTGATTAGCATTCTATTCCCTTTTAAACATGTTTGTAGGCAGGCAATGGGGGCATTACTGGTGCGCCTTGTTTTTACTGTGCATTTTGTGTTCTCATTTTAGATCGTGAACTGCCCTGTGATCTTCGCATGCAGGGTGGTACACAAATTGAATAGACTAATTAAATGAGTGCAGTAATTGTTGAAAGCAAATATTTGGCATGTTGTCTGTGTGAAATTCAGTTCTTCCTGATTAGTTTCTAAAATGTCCCAAGGTATCACGATTGTGCTAAATTACTCCAGTCCCTTTGTCTTCTGAATGATAACCTACACGCTTCCTCCTTCCTTTAAGAAATCCTTTATCTCACAAGGCTCTTTCTGATGTTAGTCAAACCCAGAGTAGACCCATTGAAATTAATTGTAGAATTAGGACCCTACAGGTCACCTTGTCCAACCCCTGCAATGCAGAAATGAATGTGACTAACTTAACATTAAATTCAATGTGGTCTACTCTGAGTTTGACTAACGTTTTATAAAACTCATGATTGTCGCATTCATATTTCCTTCCAGCTACAAGTAGAAATGAATATTTGAGTGCAAGTGTGAACAGAGTCTTCTGCCCTCCTAACTGCAAACTCTTTTGCCATTTTTCAGGAACACTCAGGACGTGTGTTTAGACTCCAATTTGATGAATTTCAGATCATTAGTAGTTCCCATGATGATACCATTTTGATTTGGGATTTTTTAAATGTGCCCCCCAATGCACAAAATGAGACACGCTCTCCATCAAGAACATACACTTACATCTCCAGATAACAGTCTGCAGTGTACTGCTCTCCAAGGTAAGCCTTGCTATCTTAAGGATGCCATTTTTGTATCCACTATACTGCCATCCCTGGTAGTGGGTCTGGCAAAAGTGAATTGTCGTTCATACTTTCAGTGAGATTTTCCAGTAGAACAAGCACAAACCATCTTTAGATTTAAAAAAAAAAAATGTCCGGTAGCACCTTAGAGACCAACTAAGTTTGTTCTGGGTATAAGTTTCATGTGCATGCACACTTCTTCAGATGCACTGAAACAGAAGTCACCAGACCCTTATATATAGGGGGGGGGGGTTCTCAGGAGGGTAGTAGGAGGTGGGTGATTGACTCAATGGGTGTGGTAAACCTGTTGATGACTGTTAACTGCAATTAGTCCTACAGGAAAAAGCAAGGGGTACTATGCAGATGATTAACATATGTAATGAGGCAGGAATCCAATACAGTCATACCTTGGATTGAATGTGCTTCAGGTTGAGCGCTTTTGGGTTGCGCTCCGCGGCAACCCAGAAGTAACGGAGCGTGTTACTTTCGGGTTTCACCGCATGCGCAGACGCTCAAAATTATGTCACATGCATGCGCAGAAGCGGCAAAACGCGACCCACGCAGACGCGCTGTTGCATCTTACGTTCTATTCAGGATCCGAACGGGGCTCTGGAACGAATCTCGTTCGCATCCCGAGGTACCACTGTTATCTCTATTAAGACCAGGTCTCTCCAGGACACGAAAGCTTATACCAAGAACAAACTTAGTTGGTCTCTAAGGTGCTACTGGACAAGGCGAATTATCACTAGGGTATGCTCAAAAACTCCTCTCTACCTTGCTTTCGCCTCCTCTCTACCTCGCTTTCCCCCCCAAAGTGTATATACCTCAAATGAGAGGCATACTTCTATGAGGAGGACAGTAATTGTAAGGAGTGGGATCTTATGTCCTCTTCCCAGGCTCCTTGAGACAGTGTGTTATTTGGCTAGAGCAGGGGTCAGCAAAATTTTTCAGCATGTGGCCGGTCCACTGTCCCTCAGACCTTGTGGGGGCCCGGACTATATTTTGGAGAAGAAGAAGAAGAATGAATTCCCATGCCCCACAAATAACCCAGAGGTGCATTTTAAATAGAAGCACACGTTCTCCTCATGTAAAAACACCAGGCAGGCCCCACAAATAACCCAGAGATGAATTTTAAATAAAAGGACACATTCTACTCATGTAAAAACACTGTGTTTCTCAGACTGTCCATGGGCCGGATTGAGAAGGAGATTGGGCCGGATCCAGCCCCTGGGCCTTAGTTTGCCTACCCATGAGCTAGAGGTACATGTTGGAGGAGGGAGCAATCACCAGTGAAGGGATTTCACTCCCATGCTTTCCTATTGAGCACCAGTCAGTTGAGAGGCGTGATCTGCCATGATTGTGGGGATCATGTACAACAGGAGGTAATTGAATGGGGGTGGGGGGCAGTTGTAGGCAATACCTCTTTGCTGTTACAGGCCTTGGGCAATTTCCAAACCCTGGCTTACGCTTGAGTTGCCCTGGAAACATAAAGCCGTGTCTCCCTTAAGTAGAGAGAGAGGTAGGCAAGTCATTGAACAGCTGTCTGAAAAGTGCAAAACTCTGTAGCAAAACAACGTCCCCTGGAAGCTGGAGGTTTCAGTTTCTGATCCTTGGCATCTTCAGATGTCGAACTGCAACTTTGGATACCAGGCAAAAACATTCCTCTTCTCCCAGGCTTTTGGCTAATTAAACAGTCTATGGTCTTTTAAACTGTTGGGATGGGGGGCAATGTTTCTGCTTGTTAATATGTTACCTACCGTATTTTTCGCTCCATAAGATGCACCTGACCATTAGACGCACCTAGTTTTTAGAAGGGGAATGCAAGGGAAAAAATATTTTTAAAGGGAGCGCTGAGCAGAACCTGTATGCATACCAGGCTCTGCACAGCGCTCCCTTTCACGAGCCGCGTGGAGCGTGTGTGCGGCGCTTGCAGGCTTCTCCCCAGGAGGGAGAAGGGCAGCCCGTCACCGACACGCAGAAGCCGCACACCCTTTAAAGAGCGCATGGCTTTTGCGTGCTTTTCTATGAGGAGGGAAAAGAGACTGACGCGGCCAGTCAGTCCCTTCTCCCTCCTCAGGGAAAAGCCCCCAAGAGCGGCACACCTTTTAAAGAGCGTGTGGCTCCTGCGGGCTTTTCTACGAGGAGGGAGAAGGGACTGAAGCGTCCAGTCAGTCCCTTCTCCCTCCTAGGGAAAAGCCCGCAAGAGCCGCGTGGAGCATGTGTGCGGCTCTTGGGGGCTTTTCCCGCCTGCCTCCCGCCTGCATTCGCTCCATAAGACGCACACACATTCCCCCTTTTTAGGAGGGGAAAAGTGCGTCTTATGGAGCGAAAAATACGGTGCTTTTGTGTTTTTATATTGTAAACTTCCCTGTGATCCTCAGATGCAGCGTTGTATAGAAAGAAATAAAAATAAACCATCCTTGCCTGCTGTCCATGCTAGCTGGCGCTGATGGAAGTTGGAGGGTCGCAGGTTTCCCTGGAGGGTAGAGCCACTGCCAATCCAAGTGGATTGTGCTGGACTGCCAGTGATCCGGCTCTGTTTAAAACGGCTTCCTATTCTCTGCAGTGTTTCCCACATCACAGGGCAGAAATGTTGCTCCGTTTTATAAAGCTGTAAAATAACAAATATTACTAACGATAGAGGAGCCGTTTTATGTGCTCAGCTCAAGTAATGTAGGTTTCTAACTTTTTAACCAAATCCTGCACCTTTTCCCTTCTAGATGTCCCAAATGAATATGCCTTTTAAAGTCGATCATTTCTGACAACCCTGGCGCTCTTGGCCATAAGAGAATTTTATTGCCTTCTGTTGAATTCCTTTTTTATTGTAACAGGATCAAAATTGTTACCATATGATAATCTTAATATAATCCGCTATTTAAATACTTTAGTGGAAAATAATAAAAAAAATGTTTTAGCCTCTTAGCGGTGAAACTCCCATGTCCATAACTGAGCACCAAAGCTTGCCTCTCTTGGGAAGAAAAAAATATATAGAAGATTAGGTTTAATTACTTTGTGCTTAATTTCAGTAAGTTGCATTAGTTTCAGGAGAGCCAATAAAGCACTGCACTTGTATAACTGTAATATTGCAGAGAGAACTTAACTCTTGCCTGCATTAAAAGGTCTTCCTTTAAATCAGTTGAATCTTTCTTGATAATGCCCTAGATCCAGAGCTGTCTTGTGTGGACACAAAGACACTTTTATACAAGATAGCCCTATAGATGTCTCCTGACTTCCCCTTCCACTGTAGCTTTTTGTTCCTCATAACACACCATTCGTGCTTTTGACGAGTTGGCCCTGCTCAGGAGCTGCCAAGGGAGCTGGTCCCTGCTAGGCCTGCAGAGGAAAACTTGGGAAAAATTGCAGACACAGCTTTACCTGGCTTACACCTGACGTCATACGACATCAGTTGCAGGTCAGGTGAGCATGGCTGGAAGACGGGGGAAGAAACCATCTCACCAGCCAAATATCAGCCACAGAGTTTATTGGTTAGAAGTGGACAGAATGTCAAATAACCAAATAAAGTACAGTGGTACCTCGGGTTACAGACACTTCAGGTTACAGACTCCACTAACCCAGAAATAGTACCTCGGGTTAAGAACTTTGCTTCAGGATGAGAACAGAAATCGCACGGCAGCAGTGAGAGGCCCCATTAGCTAAAGTGGTACCTCAGGTTAAGAACAGTTTCAGGTTAAGAACGGACCTCCAGAACATATTAAGTTCTTAACCTGAGGTACCACTGTACCAAAAACAAGCCAGCCCTAGAGGATTTAAAAATACTTGCCAGACAAACTATGTATTTAAAGAGTGGTGAAATACCACTGAAAAAGCAGAACATCCGAAACAAAGAGTTCCCTAAATGACAACTGTGACCACTGGTGTTTGTGGATGTGTGCACCGTTGCCTAAAATCTGACAGTAAGCAACTATAGACTGTTGAAATTAATTCAGGCTTCTCCTTTTTTAGGATTCCACAGTCTTTGAACTACTGGACATTTGGCAATTACACACCTGAAGACATCAGCCACCGCTAAAGTCAGAAGTGGTTCTAGGTGCTGTGTAGATGCAAAGCAGCACAAGTCTATATCTAAACTTACCTTTTCCAGTCCTCCTCACTGAGTCCAGCTAGAAGAAATTCAGTCTGTCCTTCACTGCAATGCAAGATCCAAAGCTTCATGAGTAAATTGCCCATATACACTGAACTGATGGCTTGTTTTTCCAGGAGTAAATCAGATGTCAAGGAAGGACTTGACCTAATTTATATTTGCTTTGCACTTTTATCTGACTCTGAAGAAGAAAAACATTCTCAGTGAAATGTGGGTGCCAAACATACCCAGAATGTACAGGGCTTTGCTCTCAAAGCCACCCTCCTCCTGTAGACTTTACGTTTCACGACTGATGCGGATCCCCTTCTGTTGGCTAGGAGTATCAATTGGACTGATAGAGATATTTCTGAATGGATCAGTAATATTTTGGATGATTGTTTACTTATTTCTGCAACAGTAATTTGCTTTAATTTAACGATTGTAAATTGGGCTAGAGTATCTAAACTAGGTGTACAGCACTGCCCTTTCTTTTAATTGTGCTTTGTACTACAGCCGTCCTCCTCCTCCTCCTCCTCATGTTTGGTATAGTCGAATCCTTCATGTGTGCTTGCCTCATAATTTCCAATACCGTAACTGTATAAGCATGTAGATATATTGTACATAAACATTGTAACCTCCAAGTGCTGGGAGTCAGGGTCTCCTGATACTGTATGCAGATTTCAAGGAAGAAGTTTTTAAGCATCAAGGCATTCTTACTACTGGCACCATAATTGGGTTGGGATGAATTGCTTTAGAAATATTTCTCTGTGAATAGGAGGATTTTGGTATCCATTGGGATTTTTTAAAAAAGAAAAAGAAGAAGAAAAAACGAGGTGAAACATCTTAATGTTAAACTTCAAGAACTTTTTTTTAATTTAAGAAAAAAAAATAAAAGTTAAAAGTGGTTCTGATTTTCCATGCTGCAATATTTGCAAACCATCTTAAGCCGTTGGCCAAAGTTGCATACCTGGAAACAACTTTTACAATCCGTTCAGATAGTCCTTGATCTTACCATGCTTATGTGTTGAACTGAAGCAGAAACTGCAATTCCACTGTGATCTTGTAAGAGAGATGGTCTGTGTTCCTTAACAGTTCTGTTGAGAAACCCGGCGGATTATGGCAACGCGTCATTGGAATGTCTTCTCCTTTGAAAGTATGACTGGTGGTGGCAGTTAGTCATACGCTTCCCTGTACAAAAGCAAACTTCCTAGCCTCTCTCTCATCTTTTTAAGTTATTGCTGGGCAATATTGTTTAGTGGCTTCTTCTTAATGCTAGTTTTGAAAATTATTAACTAATAAAATATAATACTGGATGGTCTAAGAACTGTGTAGTTGGCATGGATATGGATACTGTCATTCCTTAGTCATATGGTTTTGTATTTGTTTTTCCTTTGCCGCCACTCCTGATTTCTCTTTTCTCTTTCCCTCTCCCTTTTTTTCTTTTGGTTGAGGGGTCAAGGAATGTTGATAACCAATATATAAAAAAAGACCAATGAATGAATATCGCTTATTTTAGTGGAACAGCTGCGGCTGGATATTTCACTTGCACACCTGCCAGCTTGTCAGTCAAAAGAAAGCACACGTGAGATGTGAACAAAAGGCGCAACTTTTTGATCTGCTTCTGGTATTCCACTCTTTGCCTTCCTAGATGTTACAAATCAACTGCTTTTTGCATTCATGAATTGCCCCCTCGGAGCACTGCTTCAAAGACTTAAGACATGGATATGATCAAATCCATCAGAGGATGCCTTTCCCCATGTTCTCGGTTTTTAATATGGTCGACAGTCACACAACTGTCTTATGATAGCTGTAATATGAATGACACCCCCCCCCCAATGTCATTGAATGGCTGTCATGTGAAAGACTTTCTATTGCAGCCCTGAAGAAAAAGGTATTTATGGAAAACTATCCTTTTTTAATGCATGTGTAAGATGAAATTCATGTTTTTTTCCATGGGAAATAATGGTATTTGAAGATGCAGCCTAAACTACTTTTGATTGTGCTTGGTGTAACATAGCTGTGGAGTTTGTGACTGGCACCCAGGGGGGCTTGGCTCCTGGGATTTAATGATAGTGATCCTGGCTGTACTCTGGACTTTGTTTCGCTAATCATTACTGAGCAGCTGTATGTTACTGCTAGATTAATGTTTCAAAGCACTGGGATAGTCTTATTCTAACTTGTAATTATGTTTGCCAGTTACCTGTTTGGAAAGTTTGTGTATGAACAGCTTATTGGACAACTGTTGAATTGTACAGATATTGTTCATGATATAAGGCTTTGTACTGTGGAATGTGCTTAATAAAAAAATTCTAAACACCTTTTTGTCCATATTACTAACCCAACATTATTATACTTCAATCAAGTTCTAATTCTGAATGGCTGGAATTTGTGTTTCCTGTGTAGTTTTGAATGGGCTTCTGTCATCAATCCTACCATCTCCAATATACACAAATGATAGTAAAAGTAGAGTTATGTCTTGAATAAAACATTGGTAGATGTGAGCAAATGGCAGCTTCACAATCCCACATGCACTGAGCCATTGCTAAAACCTTAGAGACCAACTAAGTTTGTTCTAGGTATAAGCTTTCATGTGCATGCACGCTTCTTCAGATACACTGAAACAGAAGTCACCAGACCCTTATATATAGTGGGAGGGGGAGGGGGTTTTCTCAGGAGGGTAGTAGGAGGTGGGTGATTGACTCAATGGGTATGGTAAACCTGTTGACTGTTAACGACTGCAATTAGTCCTACAGGAAAAAGCAATGGGTAGTATGCAGATGACAAAGAATAGCTTTAGCATATGTAATGAGACAAGAATCCAATCTCTATTCAGACCAGGCCTCTCCATAGTTTTCAGTTTAGTAAGACCAGAGTCGGCCATGACTGGAACTAATGGTCAGGGGTCCCTTTACCTTACCCTCCAGATGTTTTGAGACTACAATTCCCATCATCCCTGACCACTGGTCCTGTTAGCTAGGGTTGATGGGGGTTGTAGTCCCAAAACATCTGGAGGGCCGAGTGCCTGCTATAGACCTGCTCTAATAATAATAATAAATTTTTATTTATACCCCACCCTTCCTGGTTCAGAAAACCGGGCTCAGGGCGGCTAACAACAAATTTAAAACAATTGATGCAACAAAAAACAGCATAAAATACAGTCTAAAATGTGAATAACAGTAAATTCAGAATTCAAAAATCAGTTTAGGGGGGAAATCCATCCAATAAACATTAGATGATCACCAGGGCTAACTGGCTAAGTTAGTCCTTTTGGGCCAGCAAAGAGACCAGGGGAGAATTAACTGTGGGATCCCAGAGCAGGTAAGATTCATAAAAAGGGGAGGGGGAGGGAAGGAGGGGGAATAAAAGATCAGGCTAAGTTCAAATTGAAAGCCAGGCAGAATAGCTCTGTGCTGGCTCTATACAGGCCCTGCGAAAGGAAGTTAAATCCTGCAGGGCCCTGGTCTCCTGGGACAGAGCATTCCACCAGGTCGGAGCCATCACTGAGAAGGCCCTGGCCCTGGTGGAGGATAATCTGACTTCCTTAGGGCCTGGGACCTCCAAACTATGATTATTCATGGAGCTTAAGGTCCTCTGCGGAGCATAAAGTGAGTACAGGAGAAGTGTGGCTTACTGGCAAAAGGGACGGCGGCTATCAAGGTAATACAGGACAAGAGTTGGACTTGAGGAACCTCAAACCCTAAGAAACTTTGCGTTCATATAATGCTCCCATCGCATCCTGTTGGTTTCTTCCAGCAGCACCCACATAGTACATAGTTTAATGATTCCTGCTCCAGTGACAAATGGACAGCCAGAAAGAAAAGAAAAAGCGAGCCTCACATTTCGACTCCCTCCTGCCAAAAACCTTGTCGTTTGGCTGTGTCTTGGGGTGTTTCCCCTTCATCTGCACAAACAGAAACGGGCTAGCTTTCCACCTCAGGAATGAGAAGATAAAAAGGGAGATTATTTATTTTTCCACCAAAGTTAGAAATATTTTATAGAGTTTGCAAAAAGTTTTTTGTTTCAGGAAATTTCATCATGTCTCCAGGAAAAAGAACCCCTAATTGGCCTCAGATTTACTAACAACCTTTTCATTTTTGTAATCTGAGGAGTTGTAGGTCATCTCGAGGTGACTGTAGTTAGGGTTGGTTTAGTTCCTCTGTGAATACCTAGTCTCTGCAGCAGTTCCCCCACTTTAAAGAGAGCGAGAGAGAGAGAACCACTCTGGCCTGCTGTTCCAATAGCCAGTTTTTTTGGCAAAAGCTTGCATACCTTTAGCATATGGAAATATTTTCAAGAACACATACCAGGCTTTCAGTCTTAAAAAGTGAAACGCTCCAACAAATGAACAAATGCATATATAGGAGTTAAGCAAAAGGTTCACAATCCTCCCCCCCTTTCAATTTTGTTTTAAACCCTCCCAATGTTTTAGCCTTTTATAAGAAATGGTGGCCTTTTATAAAGTGTTAATATGCAACAAAATTAGTAAAAAATCATGAATGAACTGAAGAACATAAGCAAAACCTTGCTAGATCAGACAAAGGGCCTATCTGGTCTCATATCCTGTTTCCAACATGGGGCAAAGGTAAAGGGGACCCCTGACCATTAGGTCCAGTCGTGGCCGACTCTGGGGTTGTGGCGCTCATCTCACTTTATTGGCCGAGGGAGCCGGTGTACAGCTTCCGGGTCATGTGGCCAGCATGACTAAGCTGCTTCTGGTGAACCAGAGCAGTGCACGGAAACACCGTTTACCTTCCCGCCGGAGTGGTACCTACTTATCTACTTGCACTTTGACGTGCTTTCGAACTGCTAGGTTGGCAGGAGCTGGGATTGAACAATGGGAGCTCACCCCGTGGCGGGATTCGAACCTCCGACCTTCTGATCAGCAAGCCTTAGGCTCAGTGGTTTAACCCACAGCACCACCAGTGTCCCAACATGGGTTAGTCATATGTTTATAGGAATCGCACAAGTAGGATGTGTAGGCAATAGTGTTCTCCTGCTACCAGATGTTCAGGCCGAACCAGGGTACTCTTGCATACCGAATCAGGAGCTCAGGGATTTGACTTGGATTAAGGCTCCAGTCAAATGCACATTTATGAAGAGCTCGGGGGAATCAGACCCAAGGCCAATCTAGTGCAAGATCCAAGTTCCCCCGCTGGTGTGCCAAATGGGGTATCCACAAGGAGGACCTTTCATTGGTGGCTTCCTGCATATAGAACACCTTCCCTACTGAGGTGTGTCTTCCAAGAACCACCACCTTCCTGACACCTTCTTGGGGCCCTCTTGGTAGTTCCCCTCTCCTCAGAACTCCAGAATGCCAGTTCTAGGGTGACTCCAAGTACCTGTTTAGTTGTTTTGCTTATTTCTTGTAGGACAGCGGTGCAAAAGGGTTGGATGTGGGGGCATTCCCACCACATAGGGAGAGGTGCAGCCTCTCCAGCATTTAGGCGAGGTTCCTGGGTGTATCCTGGACTCTTGAGAGTCCCATGGACTGCGAGAAGATCAAACCTATCCATTCTGAAGGAAATCAGCCCTGGGTGCTCACTGGAAGGACAGATCCTGAAGCTGAGGCTCCAATACTTTGGCCACCTCATGAGAAGAGAAGACTCCCTGGAAAAGACCCTGATGTTGGGAAAGATGGAGGGCACAAGGAGAAGGGGACGACAGAGGACGAGATGGTGGGACAGTGTTCTCGAAGCTACCAGCATGAGTTTGACCAAACTGCGGAGGCAGTGGAAGACAGGAGTGCCTGGCGTGCTCTGGTCCAGGGGGTCACGAAGAATCAGACACAACTAAACAACAACAACCTGGGTGTATCAGCGCTAGTTTCTGTAGCGTTAGGTACCACCTGTAGGTACGTTTCATAGTGGGTTCGAGCCAACCACGCCCTGCCCTCCCAAGGAAATCAAGGAAATATATTGAGTTTTTTTCCAGAATAGTTTTTTATTATTTTCTCAAGACAGTTTTATACCACGTCCATACTTTTACCTCTGCCGAGCTTGTGACTTCCCTCCTTCCCTTCAACAGGTATCCCTTATTCTTTTTAATCGCGTATTTTGATACTAAACCTCTTATCTATTACATTGTAGGAGTTATTTCAGTCCTGCCAGTGTTTTTAAAGATTTACAATTATCCTTTAAATACACCATGAATTTACTCCAACTTTCTATGAATCTCTGATCATCCTGATCCCGAATCCTGCCTGTCAGCTTGGCTAACTCTGCATAGTTCATCATTTTCGTCTGCCACTCCACAATGGTCGGAATTTCTTGTAATTTCCAATTTGGGGCCAGCATGTTTCTTGCCGCTGCTGTGGCATACATAAACAGTCGTTGTCCGATTTCTTGATCTCTTTCCCCATCAAACCCAACAGGGAGGCTTCTGGTTTTCCCCGAAAGGTATATTTAAATATTTTCTTAAGTTCATTATCCCCTTCATGGATCACTGCCTTGCCGTGGCGAAGGGGCTTGAAGAACTCAGAGAAGCTATGAACTACGCCGAGCAGGGCACACAAGATGAACAAGTCATAGTGGAGAGTTTTGACCAAACGTGATCCACCTGGAGGAGGAACCGGCAAGCCACTCCAGTATCCTGCCAAGAAAACTCCATGGACAAAGACAACAGGCATATAAAAGTTATGACGCTGGAAGATGAGCCCCTCAGGTCGGAAGGCGTCCAACATGCTACTGGGGAAGAGCGGAGGGCAAGTACAAGTAGATCCAGAGCTGATGAAGTGGCTGGGCCAAAGCCGAAAGGACGCTCAGTTGCGGATATGCCTGGAAGCGAAAGGAAAGTCCAATGCTGTAAAGAAAAATATTGCATAGGAACCTGGAATGTAAGAACCATGAACCTGGGTAAGTTGGAGGTGGTCAAAAATGAGATGGCAAGAATAAATATTGACATCCTGGGCATCAGTGAACTAAAATGGACGGGAATGGGCGAATTCAGTTCGGATGACCATCACATCTACTACTGTGGGCAAGAAACCCGTAAAAGAAATGGAGTGGCCCTCATAGTCAACAAAAGAGTGGCGAAAGCTGTACTGGGATGCAATCTCAAAAATGATAGAATGATCTCGATACGAATCCAAGGCAGACCTTTTAACATCACAGTAATCCAAGTTTATGCACCAACTACTGGCGCTGAAGAAACTGAAATTGACCAATTCTATGAAGACTTACAAGACCTTATAGAAGTGACACCAAAGAAGGATGTTCTTCTCATTATAGGGGATTGGAATGCTAAAGTAGGGAGGCAAGAGATAAAAGGAAAAACTGGCAAGTTTGGCCTTGGAGATCAAAACGAAGCAGGGCAAAGGCT